ATGATCTGATTTTTTAAAATAATTTTTAAATATACGAAAGCTAAGGTAAAAACTCTATATGAAATACTACATATCAGGTCAAGTTTTTTTTTCGAGTGTACCAAATCGTACATGCATATGTAAATAAATGGATAAATATTTTGATTTAAATGGCAGTGACAGAAACTGCAGAAAAGGGCAACAGCAGCACAGCTATAAATACATATAAATATAAAACATTTAAATGTGGCAAGCAATAAAAAATCTTAGCATTTAAATTGATGTGAAATACTATTCAAAATCCCTTTGGGTTTTCAAGTTGAGTTTGAAATGGTGTCTTGGGAATGGTTCCAGGAAGATATAAACAAGGTTTTCTACACTTTTCAGAACTGGAAGCAGATAGACAGAAAGAATGGCACATTTAATAATTCAAATCAGCAAACAGCTTTGGCAAAGAAGCTACGAATCTTAAGAACAATATTGAGCCCGATTATTCTTTAGTGGTCTTAGTTTTGTCACACAGAATATCTTAATTAATTCTTCAATATTCTAATAGACGGAAAGAAAGATCAGCAAAAATCTTAAACCACGAATAATCTTAGAATATTAAGTCGTTTATTCTGGAATGAGCAGCCTTAAAAGCAGTTTTGTAGTCTTCTTATTTATGATCTGATCTGCATTTAGCTCGATGTTAAGCTTCTCAATACATTTTTTAATATTCTAGTGAAATCAACTCATTTCTTTCAACTATTTTACACAAATTTTCTCACATTTTCATTTGATGCACAAATAAGCCTTGCAACACTGTGCGTCTGCGCCACTAACTACAAGCACATGTGAGAAAAGGTTTAAAAATAGTCAGCTAAAAAACTGAAGAAAAAATATTAAAAAACAAGGAAAAGAAACAGACGAAGAAGAAGAAGGGGAAGGAGAAGGAGAAGAGGGAAACTTCACACTGAGACGTGAGCAAAATGTAAGCGTGCTTGTTATCCTCTTCCTACAGAGAAGACCTCCAGTCAGACCTCAGCCCAAAATTATGTAAATCAAAAAAATATGCTTTGAGTCGAGGCTCGAAATTTGTGTATACGAAATATTAAATATTTATGAATGCAACAGGTGTTGACGAGGGGGGTAAGGGGGAATATGGGGTGGATATGTCTGGGATGTGGTCAAGGAAATTCAGGCAGTGATTTCCCTCAATAGGATTTCGTTGTGTTGCCTCTGTTTGTTATGCAGCACAACGCAGGGTCATGTTTAGTGTATTGAACCCCAGCAGAGGCAGCAGCAACAGCAGCAGCACCAGCAAAAATGGAGGCATGCGGCAGCTGCCACAAAGGCGGCTGCTCTTTGTTTGTGTACTGTGTAATCTGATGAGCAGATGTTCTCAGAATCGCTTGTTGCACAGAAGCAAGTGCAACAACGCATTGCAACTGAAACAGTAACAACAACAGCAATGCACAGTTGCTCCCCAGTTGACCTCAAATCACCTGCCACACTTGCTGCTTGCGAGCAATTAAAATGCGGCAGTATATAAAATGATATATGGCACATTGCCGGCTGCACAAAAAAATATATGTATAAACACTACACTCGGCAAAAAATCGACCTGATTTTCCGAAATTCTCCAAGGGTTCACCTTATTATGCAAACATAAAAAAAACAACGATTTCTCGTTTCTTAATTTCTGGTTACACTTTTCCAAAAGTTTGAAAATATATGTCTAATTTTTAAATAGCTTATAAAATTCATAGAATTTAATTTTAAATAATTTAAATTGTACGATAATTTTAACTGATGACTTCTCGGCACGAAAGCCAATTTGATTACTTCTTTCTGAATTTTATAAAGTATTTTTTCTAAAAATTAAGGTTTTCAATTCTAATTTTTAGAAATGGTTTATTGTTTGCTGACCTCTTTTTATAAACTAAATATATATTAAAGTGTTTTTTTTATGTTATTATTTTTCATCTACATTTTAGAAATGCATTTCTGAATAATAGAAAATGTTTTTAAATAATCAAAATAATACCACATTTTTGGGATTGTCGATTTCTAATTTTTAAAAATTCAGGGCGATCATTTTTTCTGAGTGTACACTCCCCCTTTTCACTTTGATGTATGTGTGTTTGTGTGTGGTGTATTTGTATGCACAATTGGCCTAAAGCATGTTGGCCAAATTTGGCTAAATGTTTGCTTGGCACGCGCCATATGCAAAACAGCTTCGACGAGTGCATGTGGGGAGTTCAGGCTTCCGTGCCATTAACACGTTTGAACAACAAAAACAACCAACACGCACACCCGCACACACACACACACACACACACACAGAGGCACAGTCAATGGCCAGGTTGGCTAACAATTATGCAAAGTTCCTGTTGGCCCCTTTGGCCCCACCTTATTGACAATTGTGCATTGTTTTCAATTTATGCTTTTCTTTTTTTCTGCTTGTCATGTTGGGCAGCCACACCCCCCGCCCACTCGTTTATGGACTCTTGTCAGTTGTTGTTTTGTATTTGTTGCCTCTTTCCGCGGCAGGTTGCACATCCGCCATGTTGCACAGACAAACAAACACAGGCAACATTTATTCCGACAATTAAAGAGTCAAACGGCAAAATTGCAAAACTGCAACTGCAACTGCAACTGCACTTTGCCGGAAATGTGTGCCCCACACAGACACACACACACACACACACACACACCAGCACACCCAATGTGGCAATGTTTATCTCATTTGCATTTGAAAACTCTTCTTCTTTTTTTTTAAATTATGAACTCGTTTTTTGTTTTTGTTTTTCCTGCATTCACAAATATGGGCAGAATATTATTTGTTATTTTTTGCCATAAATTTAGGTGTTAAATTTGAAGTTGTTGCCGCTTTGGTTGCCGCTTTTGTTGCAAGTGTGTCAATTGCCGTGCGCTCATTGCTCACTGCTCATTGCTCATTGCTCATTGTGACAAAGTGAATTTCAAATTGCAATTGTACAGTTACGCTTCATAGTTGGTCACTAACCATAACTTATATCTATATATATATATGTTTATTTATGGGGTCTGTCTAACTGTGTCGTCGCTAGTTCTATAAATTGCAACACTTTATTTTGCATACAAAAGAAGCGAGCTGAAAGCTGAAAAACATCCACTCGACTCATTTCTACAAATACCAAAAATAAATTTCATAAATTTAGAAATTTAAGCTGGAATTTAGAAAAGAGTCAACTTTGCGCTTGCAATTGTTGAATTAACTATCGAGTTTACTCGTAAAGATTCTCCCATTGTTATTTGAAGATCCGACAGTTTTTCAAGTATTTTTCAAGTATGCTAATAATGATGAAAACAGATTTCAGCTTGTGCTTGTAATAGCTTTAATTTCAATTTGTACTCTTCATATCTTATGTTACCAATAAGTTGATGAATTGAAAATCCAACTAACTCGCACTTCAAACTACTCAAGATCCGATTCATTGATTAATGATTGAGCACAGTAGTTTATTCAAGTGCTTGAAGAGCTCCAATCCAAAATTGAGTTGATAATCTTTGCGGCTCAGGAACAAGTAGTATTTTTTTATTTTTATTTTTCAAGTGTTCATCAGTCAAGTCAATTCAGTGTCAATGCTAACAATTGAAAACCTTGAGAGTCGCAGCTGTCTATAAATAATCATTGTGGATAAGTCCTGAGCACATTATAAACAGTAAAATTATGACTTTAACTGGGCAGATGTCTAGGGGTAATAATAATGATCAGGCATGCAACATGCCATTTCTGTGGCATACATCACACGACTCAAGTCGGGACTGTCAATGTCAAGTCAGAGGCCAGACCAGACCAGAAGCGAACCAGAAGAGACCCGAACAAAGACGTCAGTTAGGATGAAGCAGCTCATTAAGACTCAAAACAATGCCAACTTTGGCGACACTCAGGCGACAGTGCCAAAACAACAATAACAACAACAAAAGTAACAACAACAACAACTTTTGTGCATTTACAATTATCACTTGCGTAAACATTTCAATGTTATTTGAATGCAAAAGTTGCACAGAGCAGACCCCTGGCGCCTCGCAAAATGCAAATACAACATCAGCAGAGGGGAGGAACAGGGGGGAGGTATATAGGAGAGGGGGGGAGTTGGGGTAGCTGTCGCTTAATATGCAAAAACGTGTTGCACTCAGTGTCAGGGATCGGCTCTGCTCAGAAGTGCAAAAATGCGAACGCCAAACGAGGCCATTTTAAACAGAGAATTTGTTATACAATTTAACTAACTCATATATATATAAGCACTAACTATATATATATATATACATATCTATTTAATTAAGTTTCACAGCAGGTACTACTAAGTGGCATTTTAGAGTCGCACTATTTATTAATATAAATAGCCATAAGCCTGGCTCAATTTAGTTGATGTTGATTTGAATGTGAATGTGAATTGAGCTTTGAGCAGAATGAAATAAATATTTATACCCATTTGAAATGTGTTAAATGGGTATACCAAATTTTAGCAGCAGCATTTGAAGGTATCTCCGATTCATAATGTATATATATCATTGACCAGCACCAAAAGACGAGCTAACATACACACAGAAAAAAATGCACCCTGAACATTTGATATAGAATGTTGGGTTTTCTAAAAATGAGCGTTTGTGATTTCAAAATTTCAGTGTGATATTTTCTATAATCAATTTAAATATCTTATCAATTTTTTTAAATCAATCTGAGTGACTTCCCACTGAGCTACTTTGCCTCTTAAATAAACCATAGCTAAACTAGAAATTTATTACTATTTGAATCTGAATTTCGGAAGGGATTTATTCTAAGAATTATATCAACTTTAAAAAAAAGAAAATATATTAAAAAAAGTGACTGCAATCAATCTAAAATGCCGGAAAATTTGGAAGCTTCAACACAAAATAAGAAACTATGCATATGGAAGACATCTTTCATTACATTAAAATGTTGTTAACAAATTTGGTATCAATATTGTAACCAAAATTTATAAATTAATATAAAATAATGCTTCACTCACCTCGTCTGCGATATGATGGACCGCGAAATTTATTTGGCGAGGGCACCGGTGGACGGGGTGCCAGCATATTGGGCACCTCATCCGGCGAACTGGGTCCAATCGATGGCGATGTGCAACTGGATGCGGATGTGTTCAGTTGACGTTGATGTTGATGCTGATGTTGGTGTTGTTGGTGTTGGTGTTGTTGATGTGCCCAGTTGCTGCCAAAGGAATGGCGACGTGTGCCGCCGCTTGGCAAAGTGTGATGGCGCTGAGATTTACTGCAGATGGGGAACAGATCAGAGAGAGAGAGAGAGGGAGACAGAGAGAGAAGAAAGGAGAGAGAAGAACGATAAGTACGCACGATTAGCAACGTCATTGGTAATGAGCAAAGGGGGAGGAATGAGTAGAGTAGAATTCTTTTTTGGCAAGCTGTCAACAGCTGCATCCTGTCAAGAGCAACCAGAGCAGCAAAAAAAAGAAAAACCGCCCCAGATCTCTTAAAAAAAACAAGTGAGAATGTTGTAGTCTGGCATAACCGACTGATAATACTCTGACCAACAAGAATAAAGTCTTTGCAGAAGGTTTCTACGAATATTCACTTTGTCTGACGAGGGCTAAGACAAATAGATGTGCACAGAGAGACAGCTTGGCGGATTTTGGACAAACTCCACATACTCTGAGTACCTTTAATGATAGAGTATAAAAACCCCTCTCCAGATCACTCACCTTGCATTGAAGACATCGTCGTGCTCGGCAACGCCACCCGGACATTGGGAGCTGTGCGTCTCGTTGCAGGAGCCGAGGCGTTCTCGAAACGTTTCCGAGTGCGAATTGTTATTGGACGAGTGCTGGCGAGCAAACATAAGCGGCTGCAGTTCAAACGATTGCTGTGTGGCAAATTTTAAATGGAATGTTGAGAGTTGAATGTTGCATTAGAGACAACAGAAGCAGGAAGTTGCAAAGCGAGATCGGACAATGATTAATTGACAGAAGCAAGGAAAAACTCACTTGTGAGAAACCGCCGAGGGAGTTGAAGCTGCCGCGTGGACTGCCAAAGGCCATCGTTGCCGTTGTATCCAGATTGGCCGATGTGATCAGACGCATCTGTTCCGGATTGGTTCCGGCCAGTGCCGGACGTGGACTGCTGCCTTTCGAGTTGCGACGCTTAAATAACGAGAACACCTTCCCCGACGACGACTGTGGCGAGTCTGGGGTGCGGGGCGATTTTGTGTCATTACAAAAATAACAGGGATTATCTAAAAAAAAAAAATAAAACATAAAATAAAAATAAAAGATTAAAATACAATAATGAAAATTATAATGAGTAGTGAAAGGTATTTTTTATGATGTGATTGTGTTGACTTAAATTTAATGTTGTAACTAAATATATAAAAATAACATGGGTTGTCTAAACGTAAATAAAACACAGTATTAAAGTTGCGGTTTTGAAAAGATAGTAAAAGGGTTTTACTATTATAAGACTGAATTGATCATATTAAATGTCCTAACTATAATACAACAATAACAGGGATCATGTATCTAAAAAGCAAAATATACTGTTAAAAATGTAACTTTGAAAAGTCTTCACTATGATTATTAAAAAAATAAACAATTGAATGTCAGTGGTTTTATTTAAAAAATAACATTTAGCAACATTAAAGTTACGGTAAGGGAGTTAATATATTTTTTATTATATATAAATCATTTTGTAAAAGATCATAAAGAGTAGAAGAGCCTTCACAAAGCTATGATTATAAGAACAAATCGTGAAGCGAAACTAAGCTATAAAATCAATTGTTGTTCAAACAACAGCTAAATTAAAAAAAAAATTAATTTCAAAATACTATTTGTTTAGGATTAAGGGATATAATATTGTGGAAGTAACTGATATTTATTTTTTCCTTAATATTAATAGGAAAGTATGATTATTTCATTTAAGATACTTATGATAAATTACAGACTTATCGCAACTATCGTTATTTTTACCTGAGAAGAAGGCGTTTGAATTATCCATGGTTAGAAACATTTTGAGATCGTCTTAGACAAAATGAGGTTTCAAGTTCAGATTTGGTTCGATAACTTGCACAATCTGCGCACGATTGTTTCTCAATTCACAATTGCAATTTATGATGCATTCTTGCTGCTTACACGAGAGAGTGAGAGAGAGAGAGCGAGATGGGAACACTTTCACTAGCGACGCATGCGCACGCGCCAAAAATCGTATTTCAAACTCCGCACGATGCCAAATATGGCCAAAAAAACAATAAATTTAAAGTCAAATGAGCAAAAAAAAAAAACAATGCGCTTTTGATTTCACTGCTTGAATAATGTGCAGTGTCAGTTTGATTGATTTAATATAGAAAGCGCGCCAAACACATTCAAATTTGTAACGGTGGCTTCAAACTGTTGTTGTCGCTGTTTTGATTTATTCAACGCGCTGCGCGTGCGTCTGCATTGAAATCCCGAAACGGAATAAATTCTACAACTTCAACGAGAACAAAACACTTGAAATAGCGTCAGCGTCTACGTCGACATCGACGTCGGCGTCGCTGCTTCTGCACGCTGAGAGAATCCCTTTGCCGCTTTGGTTATTGTATTTGTACCGCTTCTTCGTTTATTTCGTCTGCCCTGCTTTGACTAACTGCAGCACCACTCACTCTCTCCCTCGCACACGCACACATGCACACACACACACACACACGCATGCGGGATCAGTGTTTAAATATGTTTGCCACATTGCACCCACTCATTGCTGCTCTGTCGCTGTTGCTGCCGCTGCTTTTGTCTCTGCCTCTGCCTCTGCTTGGTTAGTCGAGTTTGTTAGGGAAAAACTCAAACATTGTTGTTGCTGTTGTTGTTGCTGTTGTACCTGAGCATGATTTTCTTTTGCGTGCGTTTTTCGCATGATCAAAATGCTGTCGTCTGTTCTTTGATTCCCAACAATTCCTTTCATTCTCCTCTCATTCCATGCTGGCAACGTCGCGCATATTTGATGAGTTCCGATAGGTAAAAAGCAACAACAACAACAACACTAATACATACAGAGAATCTTGTTACCTTTGTATCCTCTTTTTGTATTTATAAGTGTTGTTGTTGTTACTGTATTGGAGTCTTTTTTTTTTAAATATTCACCGTGTCTTATCAGGATGAAAGTTTGTTTACTTTATTTTTTTGAATTGATTATTATTAATATAATATCTTTATATCCTTCTACATAAATAAAATACTCTTAATTTAATATAACATATTTTTCGACTTGAGGCTATTAATACAAAGATATCTTGAATTATATGGTATATATATTCTTGATCATTATAGTTCTCCTCTCCTTATGAATCTTTACCTAGCCAGCAAATGAATATCCTTTTCATATATTTTCATTTACTTTTAATACCTTAAAAACCTTTTCAATAAGTCCGCTTAAGTACGCTTAGTTGCACTTCATATCCCAGGTTTATAATCCTAATATTTAGCTTTATTTTCGTTTACAAAATTCCCCTCTTTGTTTAGAGGAAAGACATGCCAAATGGTAATCAATGAAATGTTGCGGCCAAAATAGACTACCACAACAATAAAAGCCATGCAAGAATGACAAATGAAAGCAGGAGATAGTTCAGTAAAAATACCTATGGTAGAAGCAACAGAATGTGAGGGCGTAAGAAATAGAGAGGAGAGAGAGAGAGAGAGAGAGAGAGAGAGAAAGAGAAGGCGAGCGATCATCAAAGGCCAACATCTGAGGTATGCACATTAAAAATGTTATTAGACGGGCGCATTGAAAATGTCCAGGCGAGAGGAAAACATACTGGCTACACTGCACAAAAAAGCAGCACTGAATTTTAGTATTTTGCTTTATTTTTAGCGTCAATGGTTGGTCATCTTATTATTCAAAAAGTAAATTTGTAAAATATAGAGTTGTGTTCTTCTAGAAACCAGAGTGTGCAATCATTTCACATAGTTTTTAAATTAATGTAACTTTTTAAGTGACTTCCCACTTGGCCTTTAAGACTAAGCTTTAATATAAAAGCCGAGTGCGTAAATTTCCATAATTGTTTCTGAATTTTTAAAGGGATTCCTTCTAGAAATTAGAATTTGCATTTCTACTTTTGAGAAATTATTATATTAATAATGGAAAGCATTTATAAAAATGAGAAAAATCTTGATATTCTTGCGATTGTCGATTTGGGTCAAGTCTTTCAAAATTATACAGATTTTCTTCCAAATATTTGGAAATTATTTGCAAAATCAAGAAATAATATAAATTTTAAAGCGATTAGAGCAATTTGTTTGCTGAGTGTACATAGGAAAGCTTATAATTTTGTAAGGAAAACACAAAGACAAAGATAGCTAAAAGTTGGTAGAGAGTGCAGAGCGATTCCATGTGGCAGACTGCGGAATTTCTGAAGTGGACTGACAAATGGGACTGGGACTGGGACTGGGCCAACGTATAAAATGAGTGGCAGATGCAACGCACATTGGAACCGATGGAAAACTCGTAAAAACTCGCAAGGGGCACACAGCGTAGAAATTGCACATTTCGTAGTTCATAAAATGTAGAAAACGGATCCCGTTCCCAAAAAAGAGTGCACTCTCAAGGAGTGTGTGTGTGTGTGTATGTGTGTGTGGATGCAAATGATCTTGAAATGCACATCGACTCGCAGCACTCGTTGCACTTACACAATTGCATTTGCCTGCACATAAATGTCAAGTTGTTGTCTTCGCCTGCACGCACTCTGACTCTGACTCTGATTCTGATTCTGACTCTTCGGCTTCTTAAGTACGGCATAGACAATTGGTACACTCAGAATAAAGTCGCATCAACATTTTTCTGATTAAGAATATTTTCTGCTTTTTGGAAGTGTTTTAAAATCAGAAAAGTGTTTATTTCTACTAAACTTGTTTTTTTAATGAATGATTTGTTTATATGAAAAAACACCCTGCAGATAACACCCTGTAAATAAGACATATTTTTCCTAAGCTTAAAAAAAATAGACACTGGAATTATGCAAAGAAAATCACGGGTTTCTGAAAGAATCAAACATGAGTTGTAGAAACAATCTTTTTGAACAATCAGTTTAACGGGCGACATTTCGTTGAGTGTATCGCATGCTCTTCTATGAGCCACGACTCGACTTGTCCCGTTTCTAGTCGTAAATCTGTAGACGCTCAGTTGCTACCTAAACTGGAGCAAAAACAACAACGAGGCAAGCAGCGAACAACCCTTTCGCTTCCGAGGAGGTATTCTGTGCAACACTTTGGGGGCACTCGCTGATTGTTCTATGGCGTTGACAGGTTAATCACTTCTGTTGGTGTCTTTGTTATTGCATTTCTCTTGGGTCAGTTTTGGTTGCTCTGCGGCAGTGATTCACCTTTGTTGCCACATCAAGCGTTGAGTCACAAATAGAATCATTTTTATGGCTAAAATCTCATAAGCAATGAAAGTGCTATAACGGCAATGTACCTTAAAGAAGGAGTTAAACTGATTTCAAATCATTACTTGATCAAGTGTAATTCATAATTAACATAATATAGAATATATAACATAAAAATAAAAGAAAATTTTAATAAGCAAGCTAAGTAGTTTAAAAAATAAAAGAAAATTAGTTAAATTCATGGCTTGGTCCAAATTAAATACATTTTTAGAAAGACAGAAATGGAAATTTTAGTAAACAAGCTAAGTAGCTTTAAATTGAGTTCAAACCAAAACTTGGTAGACACTAAATCAATTTTTAAAAGCTAAAACTTTCACAGCCCTAAATAAATGTAATGAGTTTACAAGTAAATAAATATTAAAGTAATTGCAACAAGCAATTATTTAGTAATCAACGCTCTAATGATTTACAAATATGGCATGCAAATGCATTATGCACAGAATTTATAATTAAAAAAAAGAAAGAAGGAAATATTCAACTGCAAGCGAAAAGCAGAAAAATGCACAACTGGAAATTTATAATGTTTCCCATTGCTGTTGTTGCTGTAGCTGTTGTAATTTCTTGGCCCATCGAACTTCAGAAACTGTTTCTTGGCCGTTTATTTGTTAGCTGCAAGCTGAAGGAAAAAAGTACTCCTCGTGGCCATATTTGCCATACACGCGTAATTGCACGCAATGCTTTATTATACACTCAACGCATTAAGAATGTGTATAAGGAGTATAATGGTTTTGTGGAGAAGTACGTAATAGGCAGAAAGATGCAACTAAGAATCTATAAACTAAATATATTATTGCGGAGTATTCACAGTAGAGTCGATCTAGAGAGCT